TTTGAGCTTTAGTCACACAGATGGCCTCACTTTGGTACACAGAGGAGGTCAAGGCCCACTCAAATCTTCATCCCTCCTCCGCCGTGCTGACAGCTGCTGTGAGGTGCTGGGTTTCCTCATCACAGACGAACATCTGCACTCTGGTGTCGTCGTTGTTCCTGCAGCCTTGTGGTTCTTTCTCCAGCAACCCTACCAAACAGGTCCTACCTGCTCAGGCTCTAATTGTACTGACGTGAACTTTAACCCCGAACACACTCTCGGGTTTTTGCAGTTTCTCTGAGCGTTGCACAATCTGACCTTGGGGGGAATTTGCTGGAATGTGCACTTCTTCAGTGCAACAAACTGGCAAAATGTCTGCTTTTACAGATGTGCTCACACTCTGATAACGAATTCATCCAGTGCAGCACCTGGATTAGCAGCAGCTGGATTAGCATCACCTGGATTAGCAGCACCTGGATTAGCAGCACCTGGATTAGCAGCACCGGGCTGCTACCACTCTCTGGATTCCCATGGAAGCAGTAAAGCTGGACACTCTGCAACGCTCAAAATAACCGGTAAAATAAAGTAAATGCACTGCTTAACACGCAGAATCACTCATGGAGTTCTTTAGATAGAATTTAAATATAGCTCGGTGTCAGAATATAACATCTGCATCCACCTGGCTGTCTCCCAGTTTTCTCTGCTACTTCTGATATTTTACAGATGCACGTCTCTCACGAGGTTTTGCTGTTCACCTTTTCAGAGTCTTGATGAGTGACGCAGCGCTGCACAGCAGGCACACACGCAGCAGTTACTCTCCAATTCAAGGTAAAGCTGAAGGAAAGTGCGTTAAAAGCAGACCTGCAAGCCCGGTCGTGTTTTTCTTCTTTCCTCTGACAGCTGACACGGATGGAAAACCGTTGTGCTCAAGTCACTAGAAAGCATCTAACCCAATGAATCAGCTTCCTCCCGTGTAGGTCCCTGCAAAGAGGCCGCGTCTCCTCCAATCAGCTGAGAGTTCATCTATACTAAAGCATCCCTCCCCAGGGGCTACTCTCAGGCAGGAAGGGGAAACAGTCAACACAGAAATTGGAATCAGTTTCACCAAAGAGAGTGGGACGGGTAGTATTTTTTTCCCACTCACTTCCTTTTCCAAAGGCTAGCAGTCAAATCCAGATGACTGCAGCAGTCACCCCAAAACCGCTGAATAGAACAAGCAGCATCGAGTTTAAACAAGCCTATATTCTGTATGTAATTACTCTGCAAACATCAATTTAACACACTGTTCCTCAGTGAAACATTAAATAGTGGCTGATCAGAGCCGTGTCCTTACAGCGTTAGGAGTTTAAGCCTGGCAGTTGGCCAACGTTGCATTTCCCCCTCCAGTCGATCCCGTCACACTGTGCTGTATACTACCCAATAAAGCAAACACGCCATAAAAAATTATCTCCAAATTCTTGAAATGATAGCGCTCTCGTTTTCGTTTTTACGAGGCAGAGTGTGTAACACGGTAACAAAATATCACTCGCTTAATCTGCGTCGAGCGTAATACAGCCATCGAGAGGAAGAAAGGGCACATTTCCTCCTTTTAAGTGATTTGTCTGGTGCTAACACTCAGGGTCGCCGTATTTATAGGGCGTCTTTAAACTTTACTTCCAGAAAAACGGGCTTTTGAATATTTTTCCACATAGCAGGAGTAATTCTTGCTACAATTTGATTTTTTAAAGAGGATTAATCCCACAGGATTTGGTGGAAATTGACACATTCGTATACAAACAATCGAGAAGTTCACGTGGTAAAAACAAGGGTCAAATAAAGGACAAACTTCACTGTTACTCATAATCATGGCTTTAAAAATATCTGCCTTTCTCAAACAGCCATTCAAACTCTACCAACACATGCACTTTTATTTTTTCAAAGCGCACTCCTTCCCTGGTGGAAAATATATATATATTTTTACTTTTTGTATGAGCCTTGATGTCTTCGAAATGCCTTTTTAGCCTTCTTTGCTCCTTGCAATCAGATGAGGTCACAGCAGTGCAATAGACTCAAAGAAAGGCGGCGTTTTCACTTCGATTTGTTACAAAACCAGCTAATAGCGGTCGGTTGCAGAGCAAATTCTGTGTCAAAGGCAGCTGGAATGGTTCCATCAACTGGAGGATGTCCTCTGGCTCGGGTTAATGGGAGTGGAGTGGGGGAAAGGAACTGCGGAGAGTGCCGGAAGAACAAAATAAAGAACTTTTCAGCTTGGATTTCTCAGAGTAATGCGGGGTCAAAAAACAGGGGTCAATACCACAATGACATCCTAATCTGGCGCACGCTGGCGATGGCGCGTATGCGTGTAATCCGCTCTGTGCGGTTCGCATCATGTCTCATTTCAGCCCAGAATCACAGACAAAGGTCACCGTTTGACCTTTTCGCAGCTCCGAATTGCCGTGGCGCACTCGGCTGATTAGTGTACACGCAGACACAGAGTACAAACGTGACAGGCAGCCACGCGCTCGCTCAGGACAGAAAAATGAAAGCGATGCAGCGCTGAGCTGAAGGCGCACAAAACCTATTTGTAATCTCGGCCGAGCTCGCCGTGCACGTTCAATTTTCCAAACGTGTTTACCTCTCGGATCCCAAATCAAAGCCGGCGACCGCCTTTCTTTGTTCTTTAAATTTATTCTGGTATTTCCTGGTATTTTGTTTCCTCTCTCGCTCAATCGATGACCAATTAACTTTGTCTTAATGCCACCGCGCTTGCTTGGTTTTGTTATGTTTAAAATGTCATGTTTTTTAATGATCAATAATGTGAATTTTCAGTAATTACTGCGGCACAAACTGCTGAAATACTGGAAATGTTTGGCCACTTGCACATGTGTGCCTGTACATGCTAAAGATCTACTTTGTTCCTAATAATATGTAAAGTCTGCAACATAACTGCATCCAAGCCAGGAGCTTATTAGAAGATGGAAAGAATAAATGTAGCCGGTCTTTAGTGTGACAGGCAGGCAGGAACCAGGAGGTGGCGACTCACTGCCTGCTGTGCTAAAGCAACATTAAACGCCGCACCGTTGTTTCAACACGCAGGAAGGGCGCCGTGATTACAGGTAAAGATGGTGGGAAGCTGCCGAAGGTATCGAAGCTTTCATGTAGCCGTAACAAGCTCGTGCGCCTGCCCTTAAAGGAGCACGCTTGCATAACAATGAAAAACAGAGGGAGACCAGCTCCCCGGTCAGCACAGAAGTTGGCATAGCAACCAGTACGGGACTTATCAGCACAGGTGAAATGGCTCCGGCCAATGGGAGCACTCGAGCAGAACTACCTGGTATATAAATGTCAGCGTGGGTCAATTGGCGCCGCGTGATCAGCAATGATGAAAACACACCATTACTGTCACCAAATGTCAACGCGGCCATGGATCTCAGCCGCTCCCGGTTAGAGTGACTAACGTTTGCTCAGTGGGCTGCACGGTCTGTGTGTGAGCATGTTCAGCGAGGAAACGAGAGGAAGAGCGTTTTCAGCGTGAGACAAAAGGCGCGCTGGCTGAAACATTCACTCAGCATATAGTAATTTTCATGCTAACACTGATGATTTCCTTTTTTGACAACCTGCTTTTGTGCTAACGATGGCTTTTTGCTCGGTGTTCAAGTCTGCCGAAGTTTTAACTACGTCTCGGTAAATCACAGTATAACAACTAACCGCCGCCGCCGCCGCCGGCAGTCAGCCTGCGCGGATACTGAACAACTACTAATGGCCTGTGCATGTGCTGGATGACGTCTGTTTGCATGCATGTAATGAAGGATAACATGCATCATTATAGAGGGAAAGCTGATCCGTGTTGCAGTGCTCAGTCGTGCACTGGCTGCATGCATATCATCTCCACATATCTGCAGCTGCACTGTGATGTCACTGGTAATGCTCAGTCCATATTCATGCACGCTATTTTATGTGCTTTTTATTTGCCACTTCAGCCTTTTGCCTCACACTGAAGCGCTCTGTTTTGAGGCAATCCTGACTGAATTAAACTAAATGCCTTTATCAGCTACGATCCCGCGGAAGGGCTCGCAGCACCACCGTTTCCATAATCTGACATATCCAGTTCAAACCGATCTTCTTTCCTCCTCTTCAGTCTGATCCGTCCTTTCCCGTCCACTTCTTCTGTAATCTCTCCCGTCTTGTCCTGTTTTATTTTCTTTCCTTTGGTCTGTTTTGCTCTCTCTGTAATGATCCAGGGCAACACTGCGAGCCAGAGTCGCTCCATGCGGGCTGATAGATGGATCCCTCTGGCTGCAGAGTGGATGGGAAACACATGGGCAGACTTCACTCAAATCTGAAAAAACAACTGCTTGAAGCCAGCTTCCCAGTGGAAATCTTCTACAGAGCATCACGCTGAAACTTGGCAGGACACGTCTCGATCCATATCTGCAGAACAGGCCCTTTGTTGTTCTGAGGATTCGCTTTGCACTGGCAGGCCGGCGCTCATTGAAAATATACAATATGTGTTTATAAGCTGTGATTGTCCAATCTCAGAAACACGCATCGCATGCAAATGTTTCTGCACAGCGTGCGTGCTTCGAGAAAACTTAAATATTTGGAAACGCAGAGAGCGAGCTCTACCTAAAATACGTCTCATGAATAATGCGAAAGAGGACCACACACACACAGACACACACAGACACACACAGACACACACAAACACACAACTCGGGTTTTCATATCTTGTGGGACATCTAATTGACACGATGCTTTCCTTAACCCTAGCCCAACTGTATCTTCAAACATGTGGGGACCAGACTTTTTGGTCAAAGACATGAACACACGTGCACGCACACGGTTCCTCTGTTGAGATGCTTTTTCCAATCTCAGCACAACTCAAACATTAAAACGATTTGGATGAAACCTTGTGGTGAAACCATTAATTATGGCTACTATTTATTTTTCCTCATGTAAAGGGGAAGTAAACGTGAACGTGTGCACAGCTGTTTCCTGCAGGAAGCATCTCTGGTCTCAGTTTAGGGCCCGTGTGCTGGTACCTGTTGCAGTGGCGGCCGAGGCTGCAGGTAGGAGCTCGGGGTCGGTCCTGGAGGAGTCTGATGAGGGGGGCTGAAGTACGGAGGGGTTCCCTGCTGCCCCCCTTGCTGCTGCTGCTGCTGGCTGTACCCAACCATCCCCTGTTGGCCATATGGCACCACCTGCTGAAACAACCAACCACATGACAGTTAGAGGGGAGGTATTAAGGTCAGGACTGAGAGCAAGACTTTCACTTTAAATTAAAAGCAGTGCAGAGAGGGTGCCAGGTGCAATTAGTAGGATATCAAAGCAGGTGGCAGGTAACATACTGCAGTAGTCAATCATACATTTGCCAAAAGCAAAAGCATCCCACACAGGTCTACACAAACTGTCCCTTATCTTTTTCTCCAATCCGTGTGATTGTCCCTCAGCGACAGGCTCTTCATTTAGCTGCGAGCAGCAGCGCTCCGCCTAATGAACTCACGCTGCAGAAACCGCTAACTTTATGTCCTCCGCCTTGCCAAAGCATCCTGCTCCCTACATTAACTCCGACTCGGACAGCTCGCAGATGGGATGAAGTGCGCCGGATATTACTGTAGTCCCCGTCCCAGGCCGTGACCTTAATGAGGGACACGCGGATGAGCCACGGCGTTGCAGAGCAAGAGCGGTTAAAAAACGAACTCAGGAGGGCGAAGCCATACCAAGTGCCAATGCTGCATTACATGGTGGTTATGAGAGAGAATGTGAACAGGGATGCATGTAACAAGCTGGCACAAATACAAATCTAGCCTTAATCCCTTCTTGTCATTTGTTATGACTACAGACAGCGCCAGGTGCTCCTCGCTCCTCTGCGGATTTCCTATGGAGGCTGGGGTTTTCTCATCGCGTGCACGCGTGTGTGCACGTAAACACACATTATTAAACAACATTTACGACCACGGGTGAAGCAATATGACAGCACGTTTCATGTCATATTTCTTCCCCATTATGTCATGTGGCTTATTTTTATTCCGCCAGGAGCTC